TATCTCGTCACGCGAGAAGCTTACAATGCAATCCCCGCCCCGAATTCGTCTAATATCACGTAGCGGTTCTTTAAGAGGTACAAGCGGAGACAAGCGGGTGTAGCACCTGACCTGGGAAGAAAGTTTAGGAAACCATCCATTGAAGGATCGAATGATACCTCAAGTGTGTCCTGAGTACGTTCCAGCAGGTTCTGAATAAGAGTCACTACACACGGATCTCCACACAAGTGTATCTCTTTGGCAGCGAGACCAAACAAAGCCCGAGTGAAAGCGTATCCTCTTTTGGAGCATCCTATCATCTGAGAAAATCAACAAAGAAGGCAAACATGAGAAAATAAAACGAGAAAAACTCTTGTTCTTGCCTGGATTTCGTCAATGACGGCACACTCGTACTCGCGAGTGATGTCCGCCATCTCGACAGTCATCGCTTTGTGCTGTGCTCCCTCGATCTCGTTGCGCTCCTGTCCAGTGAGAAGACTGCACGGTACATTGTGAGAGTTGAGCTTCTCTGCCACTTCCCAGGCGAGGAGACGCAAGGGACCGCAGTAAATTCCTGGATGAGAGAAACGAAGCATTAGGTAACGCAAGAAAGAAAACAGTTCTTTCTTCCTCTTCGAGTGTATGAGTTTTTTTTCCTTTGGAAGAAGAAGCAAACCTGATGAAGCTCGCTGGAGACTTTGCAAGGCAGTGAAGGTTTTGCCGCTGTTGGTCGGGCCAACGTAGAGAATGATCCGCCTCCTCATTGTCCGCGCGTAAGGATACCAAGTGTGAGGAACACTGCCACACACTCTTATCATTCCTTTCCTCGCAAGAACTCCAAAAAATCACTTACGTCATATCGGTGAGCTCGAGAAGGATCTTCCGCGCTGTGGTGCTGAATGCGCGGCGCGATCCAGCTGAGAAAACAAACAAATCATCCACGAAACAGAGAGAAAGAGAGACTACAAACCTCGACTCCGCCATAGCCCCTGCCACATTCTCGAAAGAATGCGAAGAGCCCTAAGTAGCCCTAGCCATCTCTTTCTTCATTCATTGCTCGCGCATTCCAAATTCCAATGAGTGCCACTCTCTCGATCGAATTGTACTGGAATTGCCACCCACACTGGAAGAACAGCTGAGAGTTTGGAAGAAGTCAAAACCTTTGCTTCGCGCAAATAGCGCAAATGATTGACTTCTTCCTTGTCTGGTAGATCCAGACGAGCGCAATAGGCTAGATCTCGAGGAGCTAGATTTCGAGGAATTGGACGATCAATCGAACAAAGAGAGCTACGTTTGGAGGATTTGAGCTCCTTGGAGCTCAAATTCTTGTAGAGCTCGCTAGGGTTTGCCATGGCAATGGCAGGCGTGTGGAGGTGGCCCGGGTGGGAAGTGGAGAGCTATCCCAAGCTCACAGATTTGGCAATGGTTCCACTCTTTGGCCTCTTCTTCCCAGCAGTGCGCTTCGTGCTAGACCGCTTTGTATTCGAGGTAAGCGCCAAATCTCTCTTGCTTCCTCCATCTCCATCCTTTTCTCGGCAAATCTCTCGCTATTTATCTCTCAAACTCGAGCTTTGATTGGCTGGAATGGTGCATTCAATGCGCACTCGTGAGCGCCCTGTCCTCATTCCAATCCAGTCACTCTTTCATTCATTACGCGCTCGACTGCCAGCATAATCTTTGCTTTCGTGTTCCAGGTTCTTGGGAGGCGATTCATCGCTCGATCCAAAGGCGATGATCAACAGTTTGCCAAGACTTTGATCAAGTTCAAAGAGTCGGCATGGAAGGCGGTCTACTTCACGTCCGCGGATTTGTTTGCGTTGCTCATCACGTACAGGGAGCCGTGGTTCCACAACACGAAGTACTTTTGGATCGGGCCGGGAGATCAAGTCTGGCCCGACCAGAAGATCAAGTAAGCACGTTTCACTCTCGAAGCAATTACTTGATCGCCTAGAGATCAACCCCTGCCAGGCTCAAGCTCAAGCTCCTCTACACTTTCTCCGCGGGATTCTACATCTACAGTATGCTGGCTCTCGTGTTCTGGGAAACCCGACGCAAAGATTTCGGTGTTAGCATGACACACCACGTCGTAACTTTCTTGCTCATTGCTGGTTCCTATCCCATCAGGTAGAGGCTTCGATTTCGTTCGTTTTTATTTTTCTTCTCCAAACCCATCCCGTATCGATCGCTTTGTCTTTCGCCAGATTTGCTCGAGTTGGCTCCATGGTGCTCGCGCTACACGATGCAAGCGACATTTTTCTAGAGATGGCAAAGATGTCGAGGTATGCTGGCTCGGACATCTTCTCCAGTGTTTTCTTCGTCATGTTTGCGATCGCCTGGGTGTTGCTTCGACTGATTTACTTCCCTTTCTGGATCATCTGGAGCACCTGGTACGTGGGACGCCGCAAGGTTTCCAATCTTTTAATGACAATTGAAAACAACGCTCTCCTGTAGCCGCGAGATTGTCCACACCTTGGATAAGAGTGCACACAAAGCTTACGGCCCGGTCATGTACTATGGATTCAACACCTTTTTGATCACGCTCTTGGTAATGCACATCTACTGGTGGATCCTGATCGTGAGGGTCCTTCTCAAGCAAATTGAGGACAAGGGAAAGATCGAAAAGGATGTAAGATCAGGTAAACTAGCACTCAAAATCTCTTTTTTCCTCTCTCTCTCTCTCTCTCTCTCGCTTGCATAGAAAGTGGAAGTGAAGAGATTCTAACTGCTATTCACGTGCAATGCAGACAGTGAAGACGACAGCGACGACTAACGAAAGATCAAGCTGGCTTCTATATGATTCGATCACTAAGACAAAGATCGTGATGAAAGCGCTTGAACCATCTCACATCACTTTGCATTGTGAAGCTTCGATTACATGCAGAAGGATATACATTCACCAGATGATAAGTTTCACGTACAAATGATAATATATCTCGTCACTGGTGGAATTCTATCTTGTCGTGGTTTTGGAATCTCCAAGATCTCATATCTAGTAGTGTAGTAGTAGTATCGAGGGACCCCCTTTGGGCCAAGCAAAGTCATTGTACGCGGGATCATAAAACTCGTCAGGATTACCAAGATGATCTCTGCCAATGCACAGGAGATCGAGAAAAAGGATTCTACAGAAAACATACCCAAGTCATCCCTAAGTGCTCTCGCGGACACCACTTCGCGTCCAAGCAGTGGCGCTCAAATCCCTCAAACTCGTCTATGAAACACCGGCACCGCCATGAAAATGGCAGCGGCAGCAGGCCCTTGAGCAGCAACAGCTCCGACTGGAAGATGACCTCAAATCCTGTCTGAAAGAAACCAACTAGCATAAGTGTGGGAAAAAAGAAAAGTAATATCCAATTGCTTGGGCAGCTGAATGTGTGGAGAGTGACCGGCAGATCGGATGCCGAAACATGAGACCACCCGGGATGCAGGATGTTGTCAATGCTATCCACCGCCAAGGGCGTGCCATGGTAGAACACGGTGATCTCGATCCAGCAGGTGAGGATAGATCCCCCGATGGTGTGGTGCGAGTGACGAAGGACTGGCAGATCGGGGCCGGTCCAGAGACCCAGCCCATGGTAAGGATCATACTCCCCATTTTCTTCTTCAGCGCTCGCTCGATCGCCTTGGTCCTAGGATGGTCGAATGAGAAGTTGCTGCTGCTCGATGTCATATGAGACTGACCAATATTTCTTGTCGTGTGATTGATTAATAATCTCATGGGTTTTGGCTTGTTTTGCATTGCTTCTGGAAACAGGGAAACCTTTGTGGCGATATCATTCCTCGTACGGAAGTGACGGGGAAAGTCCAACGAAAATGCAGTGCTCTTATTCAGAGTTCACTAATTTGACCAAAGTTTGCGACCGGATCGCGTTTCACGATTCTTTTTTTCGCGACTGCGATGACCTTGTATTCCAACGTGCATGTGTATATAAAGCCGGTTTCCATAGTCCCCAAGTTCTTTGTGGCATTCATTCCACGAACGATCGAAATTTTCCTTTCGTGTCCCAGTTTTGTCCAATTGATTTAAACTTCGCATTTTCGGAATGGCGAGGAAGCCATGGGCGATGGTGCGAAGAGCTGGTAGCTATAATCGTCACAAATCTAGGTCGGCGGGATCTGGCACGGTGCTGCTGCGTCTCCAAGCTGTGGAGCCAATGCTGCCGCTGGCAGCTCGCCTACGGCCGCGGATTAAGGTTTCTCACTGCCCGGCCCAAGAATCCAAGCTATGGATGTGTGATTCCAACACTGGGGAGGAGCAGTGGGTGACGCTAGGCATCGCTCATTCGGGTTTGGGAAGGATTGGTGCTTATTGAATGTGGTGTGGAGCTGGCGATAGCCCAGCGTCAAGCGATGGAAGCTCTTTGCGGAGACCGCGGATTTACACAATATCGGCTTGGGTGAGGGCAGCTTCTCATCCTCGTCATCGACCATTCCGGAAGTACGATTGTGCAGATTCCTGGATAGATGTTTGCTGCGGGCACAGGAGGGTCGCCTTGATGGCAGTGGGCGCCTCAATCAGGGGCGACTGCTATAGGCTCTTCCGAAAGTGTCGCAACGCGTATATGTTTGATGACATTTACAAGCTGGATCCGAGGCGTGGAGTGTGGCACAAGGTGAACATGAGTCCCACAAATTCGAGTGCCGCTGGGTAAGAAAAAAGTTGGTAGAATTGCGAGGCAAAGCCGTCATGTATACTTTTAAGGTGCTACTGGAGGGCAGGAGATTTGACACTCCAAGATTGTATGAGCTGCTGAAAGGTGGTGATGTTTTGGGTAACTCGAGAGGGAGATGTGGTCAAGTATTCGGCGGTGGACTCGTCTTTCAGCAACCTGGTACAGGGCTCTGATACTGCGCCGAAACTGTTCCTCTCGATTGGAGCTTACTTTTATATTCCCGACGGTGGGAAAGCCTTGTCTCTTTTATCACATTTGCCAGATGTACCACATAATTTTTGGATCATTTCATTTTTTGTCCATTTTTTATATCTAGTAAATATTTATAACAATAAACAAGTTATAAACTCTAAGAATATTCTTTTACATCCAATATTTCTGTGAAATTGCACATGCATCATTTAATATATATTGCCAAAGTTGGTAAGGAAGAACGAATGTCAAGAAGCTGCACGTTGTTCATCATGTGGTCTCCCTTGTCACAGGTTTTGGAAACGAAAAGCGCTCGTCTATTTCTCTCTGTGGGGGAAACAAGCATCAATCCAGGTTCTCATAGTGGCTAGCTATCTCGTAGAAGGGGGCTTTAAAAACCATGAAGCCCTTAAACTTCGTCAATAGCTTCGATCCATACGCAGCCCGACTAGAAGAGGCCAAGGCGCGAAGAAAGCGCTGCATTATCATCTCCGCCATAGCCACACTGCTGCTGCTCGTCTTGGTTCTAGGCATAGGGATTGGAGTCTCGGTCACCAGATCCCACCAGAGGTCGGAGAGCTCTTCCAATCGCCAGGGGGCAAACGCTGGATCATCCAACTCACTGCTCGCGCTTTGCAACAGGACGGCATTTCCCCCATCCTGCATTTCCTCGCTCTCTGGCTATCCCGACGCTCCAGGCGCCAATCCCAAGAAGCTAGCTCTGCTTGGAATCACAGCCGCGGTGGAGGAAGTGAAGAGATCCCTGGCTCTCGTCCACAACATCTCCAGCGAGCTGGAAACCCAGACCAATCTCGTCAACCTCACCACCATGGACGCACTGGGCGACTGCTCCGACAATCTTCTCGACTCACTCGACCACCTGGATCACTCCATGTCGGAGCTCGACACCCTCGACCTCAAATCCTTTCGGGGCTTCTCGCCGTCCATGGAGAACATCCATACCTGGCTCAGCTCGGCGCTCACATTCCACACCACCTGCGCCGACGCGATCGACAGCGAGCGGCAGCAGGAGAAGCTGTTGCCACTGCAAGCAAGATCCGAGTACGTCCAGGAGATCCTCACGAACGCTCTCAGCTTCTTCGTCGCGTTCAAGGCCCTCTTGGACAAGACCTTCCCGGGAACTCCAACAAGAAGGAGATTGCTCAGCTCGCCGCCACTGAGCTCTCTCCCAGAGTGGATCACAGATGCCCAGAGGCGGCATTTGCTGCAACAAGGGGGTTCCAGCGAGATGGCGCCCGCAAATGCCATTGTCGCGAAAGATGGCAGTGGTCAGTTCGTGTCCATTCAAGAGGCGATTGACGCGGCACCGCTCAAGAGCCGCACAATGCATGTGATATACATAAAGCAGGGGATTTATGACGAGGCAGTGGTAGTACCCAAGGCAGTGACTAATCTCGCCTTCCTGGGCGATGGAATTGACAAGACGATCATCCAGGGCCAAAGAAGCGTCGCTGGAGGCTCCACCACCTTTGGCTCTGCCACCCTCGGTAAGAGAAAAACTCTTTCTTTATATCAGAACTCTCCTTTATATCACCACCATCACTAGAACACTTGCTTTATATCACCACCATAGCTAGAACTCAGTTAGAACTCTTCCCTGACTAATGATATAACTCTTGATTCGCAGCGATCAATGGGCGAGGATTCGTTGCCAGCCACTTAAGCGTACGAAACCTGGCCGGACCCAAAGGACGCCAAGCAGTGGCCGTCCGGGTGAGTGGCGATCAAGCAGCCTTCTACCGGTGCTCCTTCAATGGCTACCAGGACACCCTGTACGCTCACTCGAGCCGGCACTTCTACAGAGAATGCGTTGTCTCCGGGACCGTCGACTTCATCTTTGGAAACGCTGCAGCAGTCTTCCAACGGTGTAACATCCAGGCACTGCTCCCGGATCCTGGCCAGAAGATCATGATCACGGCGCACGGCCGCGTCACCGATCTCCAAAACACGGGCTTTAGCTTCCATGGCTGTCGAGTGGAAGGCTCCGGTCGGCTGGTGGCGCAGAGTCACAGATTCCCTGCGTACCTGGGGCGCCCCTGGAAGGACTACGCCACCACCGTCTTCATGCAGTCGGACATCGGGGGGATAATCTATCCGGCTGGCTGGAGCGAGTGGGAAGGAGCACCGCTTCACAGATACAAGACCGTCTTCTTTGGCGAGTACCTCAACACCGGAGCAGGCGCGGCTCAATCAGGCCGAGTGTACTGGAGCGTTCCAAGCCTCACCATGGACCAGGCCCGGCAGTTTACTGTCGGGAAGCTCATATCTGGTCTCGACTGGCTGCCTTACAGTGGAGTCGTCTTCGCCAATAATCTCTGAGCGGCTGCACATAAGGAGAAACTTATATAAGTATTCTTTTCCCCGTTTCTTGCGAAGCAAAGATTTACCTGACAGCTCCCAAGTACTGTCCCATTCCGAAGAAAGCATTTTGTATCGCGAAGTGTCATCCTCTCCTGAGAGGCGATATAATTTCTCGCATCCATGTCACTTTTTCCAGAGGGCGAGGAGACTAGCGAAGCTTTATAAGTTTGATGTAGCCCTGGAACTGTCCGTGGGACTCTTGAATATAGCTGCTGCAGCAAGCGCTGGTAGGCACTTACGAGGCTTCTTGGCTCACATGAATTATCGTATAGATATATAGCTCGCACGCAAGACGAAATAGTTTGTGTCGGCTTTCGTCCGTGATGTACACCGCCCTCCTGCGATACATGATAGCTTTATCATCTGCTATATCATATAGTTGGGTTGAATCGTTTACTTGCCTTGAATTCTTGCTCGCAGTAGCGGCAGCAGCAGCAGCAGCAGCAGCACATAAGACAATTCCCACACGTCCCAGCGAGCCACCCAGCCAAGTTATAACGTTTCCATGTGCTTGCGAGAAAGAAAGCTGTGGTGGATTGGGACCTCGCACTATTTGCGGCACTGTCGCAGTGAATTGTATTTAGCACTTGGAGTTTTTTGCATTGCCACCGTTGGCAGCCACTCACTTCCTGCAAAGTTAAGCTCGCGAGTTATACCATACCAAGCCGAAGCCAGAGCCACGCACCTATAGAGCTGCTGCTACTGGTACTGCTGCCGCTGCTGCCACTGCTGGGGCTAAAGCTTTCCAGAGTTTTGTTTTGGACTCTATCAACCACGCGACGACTCCGAGCTCATCGCTTCCACTGCTTCGTCGGGGTATGCCGAGATGAGAACGACGCAGGGTAGGAGTGCCTGAGCATTTCCAGGACTGTCAGTTCGTTAACTTACTTACCAGTCTTACAGTTAATCAGTCAGATCAAGATCAGATGGATCAAACAAACAAAAAATAAGCCAGACAAGAATCCAGGCAACAACAATCCAAACCAGCTCAAAAAATCGAGAAGGAGAGAAAAGAGAGGTGAATACCTGTAGTCGCTCAGAGAATTTTTTCCGTTTTGTCATCGGTGACCACGCTCATGGGAGGAGCAGTGCTTGCAGTAGCACGAGTCGCAGAAAAAATCACGGGGCTCCCACTGGCAAATATGTACCTCTCCTTTCCCAGCCGCATTCTTTCTAGATTTTCCAGAATAGTTTATTCTCGCTGAGTTTTCTTTTCCTCCTCGCACGCTGGCGGCGAGCTATGTGACCGGATGCCTGTCCTTCTATCCCCCTGCTTTCTTTTCTCTTTCTCTCCCTTGGCACACTTCCATTCTTAAAACCAGGGGCGGGCTGTTTTTCAGTTGTATGAGTGTGTGTGCCTTGGTGATGCATTGCTCGCTGGTGAGGTGATGGCTTCTTCTTCTTCTCCTTCTTTCTCGTCGTCTCTACGCAACCACAACGTTGTTTCCTCCTCCTCTTCCTGCTGCTCCCGCTACTGCTTAAGAAATCTAGTCTTCCTCCTCTTCCTCCTCTGTGCAGCTAATGTTGTGACTGCCAGTGGTGATGATGATCGCGGCAGGAACTTGGGAGCAATGAACACCACCGGGAATATCAGCCTAGTGTGCCAGGCAACCCAGTTCCCCGACGTTTGCTACTCGTCGCTGGTGACAAGTCCTGGAGCAACCAATGCCAAGTATTCCCAGCAGCTCGTCGGCATCTCAATCACCATCGCCTACCAAGGCGTGAACGAGAGCGACGCCTTCGCCGACCAGCTCATCCAGGAGTCCGCCTCCGACGTAAGTGTCAAGGGCATCGCTCGGGACTGCAAGGACCTTCTCACGTCCTCCAAGTTCTGGCTCCAGGAATGCGTCGACTCCGACCTGGACAAGCAAGTCCAAGACATGCAGCAATGGCTCAGCGGGGTTCTCACATATCAGACCGACTGTACCTCGTCGCTGTCCGTCGTAAAGAAGACCAAATTCATCAAGAAGATGATGCACAAGCTCGAGTCTGTCGCCCGTCTCATCAGCAATGCCTTGTCCATGGTTGATGCCTTCGCCTCTTACGGTTCCAATCCACAGCACTGGAAACGCCCGACTCTCCACAAGCGAAAGCTGCAAGCTTCTCTGACTTCTTCTTTCTTCTCGGTCGATACCACGAGCAATTCAGCCCCGTCCTGGCTGGGAATGCACGATCGTCGCCTTCTCGAAGCCCCCGCTTCACTGATCTCTCCCTCGGCAATTGTCTCCCGCACGCCGGACCAGCCGCAGCTCACCATCTTCACCAGCATCCAAGCGGCCGTCGACCACGCGCCAAACCACTGCACCGCCCGCTACGTGATTTACATCAAAGCCGGTGTCTACCCCGAGAACGTGAGGATCCCGCTCCAAAAGTCGATGCTCATGTTCGTGGGCGACGGGATGGACAAGACCATCATCCGGGGGAGTATGAGCGTGTCCAAAGGCGGCACCACGACGTTCGCGTCGGCAACACTCGGTCGGTACTACCTGAATGATCATAAGTTAGAAGTCATGGTTTTGCTTGTTCGAGCACGAAAGAAAAGAGAAAGAAACGAGGAAGAAGAACTGACACATACCTTTGCGTGTTGTTGTGCTGTGGCTCTCAGCTGTGAACGGCAAAGGCTTCCTGGCCCGTGACTTAACAGTGGAGAACACCGCGGGACCCGAGGGCCACCAGGCAGTAGCTCTTCGCGTGGACAGTGATATGTCGGCCTTCCACAGCTGCTCGATCCTAGGCTACCAGGACACCCTCTACGCTCACACCTTCCGCCAGTTCTACAGGGACTGCCGCATCGAAGGTACCATCGATTTCATCTTTGGCAATGCCGCGGCTGTGTTGCAGAACTGTCTCATCCGCGTCCGCCCTGGCAACCCGGGCGTGATCCTCAGCACCGTCACCGCGCAAGGCCGCCTCGATCCGGCCCAGTCCACCGGCCTCGTCTTCCAAAACTGTACCGTCAATGGCACCGAGGAGTACATGCGCGGCCTCCTCGCCGAGCCGCGCAAGCACCTCGCCTACCTGGGCCGCCCCTGGAAGCTCTACTCGCGGACGATCTTCCTCCACACTTACATGGAATCGCTCGTCCGGCCCGAGGGATGGCTGCCCTGGGATGGAAATTTCGCCCTCGCCACGCTCTACTTCGCGGAGTACCTCAGCTGCGGCCCCGGCGCCAGCGCCTTCTCGCGCGTGCCCTGGTCGACGCAGCTCAGCATCGCCGATGCCCTAGGCTACACCGTCCAGAGCTTCATCCAGGGCGATTCCTGGCTCCCATCCACGAACATTCCCTTCTTCCACTTCATCTAGGATCGATCCAGCGCGAGCAGCGATGCCGATCGAGCGAGGAGCGGTCGGCGTCCTCGGCGCGGCAATGCCCCCGCATTTTCCATGTAAACGAATCTACACGACCTAATAGAATATGCTAGAGACCACCAGAGTGAGATTAGGGCAGGCGCGCATATTTGGTGTGTTCTTCGTCCCAGGGTCGATCGAGAGGAAAGGGAGGAGCGATGGTGTCGGATGCGAGTAAGAAGAAAGCCGCCGCCAAGAAAGCGGCCGCCGTCGCCAAGAGAGGATCTAAATCAGCTGCCGCTACTTCTTCCAAGGTCGCCGACGAGCAAAATCAGAATGGCGCCGCCGCCGCCGCCGCCCTCAACGAAGAAATGCAAGGGATGAGCATCACGGATCGGACCTGCACGGGAGTGTTGGCATCGCATCCTCAATCGCGAGATATTCATGTAAGTCGGTGATGGGATCTTTGTTCCAGCTCGATTTTTTTCTTACCCCAAATCTGGAATTTTTTTTCTTCCTCTAGATTGAATCTTTGAGCGTGACATTCCATGGACACGAGCTCGTCTCTGATTCCACTCTCGAGCTAAACTATGGAAGGTGAACTAGATTGACAGCGAAGATTTTTCTTTTTGGCTTGGTTTTCTTTTCTAAACCAGTGATTGTTTTGCTTTGCCATCTTGGCAGACGGTATGGGCTTCTCGGGCTCAATGGTTGCGGGAAGTCCACACTTCTCAGCGCGATTGGTTCCCGTGAAGTTCCGATCCCAGAACACATGGATATCTATCACTTGACTCGAGAAATCGAGGCAACCGACCTCACTGCACTGGAGGCTGTTGTGAATGTCGATGACGAGCGCTTGAAACTGGAGCAGGAGGCCGAGAAGCTTGCTGCTCAGGTGTGTAGCAAAAAAAAAGTTTCAATGTTTTTTCGTTCCCCCGCGTGAGCATGCCTTTCGTTTCTTTCACAGGACGCTGGCGGTGGAGAACCACTTGATCGGATTTATGAGCGATTAGAAGCCATGGACTCGGCCACTGCTGAGAAGCGAGCGGCCGAGATCTTGCATGGTCTTGGATTTACTAAGAAGATGCAAGCTAAAAGTACTCGTGATTTTTCGGGAGGATGGAGAATGAGAATTGCTCTTGCCAGGGCACTATTTATGAATCCCACCATTCTTTTACTCGACGAACCCACTAATCACCTTGGTGAGTCCAGTTTTCTCGCTTGTTTCTTTCTCGTGCGTGTTCTAGCGTGTTCTAATGGGTTTCTACGCTGTCGTGTTTGCAGATCTCGAGGCATGCGTCTGGCTGGAGGAGACGCTGAAGAAATTCAGCCGGATCCTGATGGTCATATCGCACTCGCAGGACTTCTTGAACGGCGTGTGCACCAACATCATCCACATGCAGAACAAGAAGCTCAAGTTCTACACCGGAAACTACGACCAGTACATCCAAACTCGCTCGGAGCTGGAGGAGAACCAGATGAAACAGTACAAGTGGGAGCAGGAGCAAATCTCGTCGATGAAGGAATACATCGCGAGATTCGGGCACGGCTCCGCGAAGCTGGCACGCCAGGCCCAGAGCAAAGAGAAGACGCTGGCCAAGATGGAGAGAGGTGGCTTGACGGAGAAGATCGTCAAGGACAAGGTGCTCGTCTTCCGGTTCACGGACGTCGGCAAGCTCCCGCCGCCAGTCCTCCAGTTCGTGGAGGTCGACTTTGGCTACACCCCGGACAACCTCATCTACAAAAAGATCGACTTTGGAGTGGATCTCGACTCGCGGATCGCTTTGGTCGGGCCGAATGGAGCAGGGAAGAGCACGCTGCTCAAGCTGATGACGGGCGAGCTGGTGCCTCTGGACGGCATGGTTCGACGGCACAACCATCTCCGGATCGCCCAGTTCCACCAGCACTTGGCGGACAAGCTCAACTTGGAGGTCTCGGCTCTCCAGTACATGATGGCCGAGTACCCGGGGCTGGAGGAGGAGAAGATGCGAGCGGCGGTGGGACGATTCGGGCTGACCGGCAAGGCACAGATCATGCCGATGGGGAACCTCTCGGACGGGCAGAGGAGCCGAGTGATCTTCGCGTGGCTGGCGTGGAGGCAGCCTCACTTACTTCTCCTGGACGAGCCGACGAACCACTTGGATATCGAGACCATCGACTCGCTGGCGGATGCGCTCAACGATTGGGACGGCGGATTGGTGCTGGTGAGTCACGACTTCCGGCTCATCAACCAGGTGGCCAAGGAGATCTGGGTGTGCGAGAACAAGACGGTGACGCGGTGGGAGGGAGATATCATCGATTTCAAGCAGCACCTCAAGAAGAAGGCCGGGCTGTGATCTCGAGCGAGGAAGAAAGATGGGGATCGACGCGACGCGCGTGTAATTCTATCGAGCTAGCTAGCTATCGAGAGAAGGCGAGCGAGAGAGAGATTCTTATCACACACCATTTGTGGATTTTTGGAAGAGAGGAGAGGGAAGATCTCATAGTAATTGAAGTTCACCTTTATAAACTTACTTGGAAGCTGATGTGGCTGGACTTCTCCTGCCACATGAAAATTTTAAAATCGACGTGGTCCAATAACATGGTGCCACATTGGCTAAAGACCTAACAAGCTAGGGTTTAAGGAGCTCCAGGTATGAGAGCGATCAGATTGCCCGATCCGCCGGGCGTGAGCGTGAGCCATGCGACGCCAGAGATTTTCGATCGGGGATTGTCAACTGTGGTGCGCCGCGCGGTCATCATCGGCAATGGCGCCGCTGGAGCTGAGCATCAATCCATTGGTTTGGTCCGGGCGCTCGGTCTTGCCAGCAGCTACACCATCTATGTGAGTTCTTTTGCTTGTTTGCTTTTTTGCAGTGTGTGATGTGGGAATTTCCAGCGTGTGGATCGACCAACGGGTGAATTCAATCGTTGGCTCCGATGGCTGCCGCTTGGAATTCACAAGAAGATCGACTGCTTGGTGCGGCACTTGCATCTCGTATGGTGGCAACGCTTTGCTACTTCGCTGGGATTCCGGCTTCAAAGCCAGAAAACCATTGGCATCAGTAGCGCGGGTTTGAGTGGCATCGAAGCAGCCGATGCGAAGAAACTAGCCGATCTGGCAAACCTGGAGAGTGCAAGGTACTACTTTGGATTTCCTTTCAAAATTGCGTTTTGGGATCGAGTAACTTAGGGAGATTCTTGCTTGCTTCTAGGAATGGACCTTTGCTTGTTCTTGCGGCCGGGCGTGACACGGTTTCCATTGCCGAGAGTGTGAAGAAGCTGGCTCCTGGCGCTACCTTTGTTGTTCAGGTATGTGTGGGTTCTCTACACACTTTCTTTACCTTTCTCTTTTCCTTTAGTTTGCATTTTTTTGGTGCTTAGATACAACACCCCAGGCGCTGCTTGGATAACTTCGACATGGTCATCACACCCGTTCACGACTATTACACGCTTAGCCCGGCTGCGCGACAGGAAGCTCCCAGATTCTTGATACCGTTTCTCACTCCACACCAGCCTCCTGATAAACGCGTCGTAAGTTTTTTCCTCTCGCTCTCATTGTTGGTTTCTTACGTGTTGTGTTGCTCCGCTTGGCAGGTGCTTACAGTGGGAGCTCTACATCTTGCGGATCCTTCCATGTTGCGCTCAGCTGCAGAAACCTGGCATTCACTGCTCGCGCCGCTTCCAAAGCCATTGCTGATTGTGAACATCGGCGGGCCTATGCGTGAGTCGTTTGTTCTCATCGGTCTTTCGTTTTACTCGTTCTTCCTCTCTACTCTGATCCAGGATGTTGTCACTATGGCCAGGACCTTGCCCAGGAACTTGCGTCCAAGCTGAAACGCGTGCTATCCTCGTGCGGAAGTGTTCGCATCTCATATTCACGACGAACACCGGCTAAGGTTGTTTTCAATTCTAGATCGAAGAAATGCTAAGCTTTTGCTGGACTTGACAGGTGTGTGATGTTATCCAGAGAGAGCTCGGCGATCTCCCAAACGTTCACATCTTCGACGGCACTGGTAGCACTGTCCCATTTGCGAAGCTCTTTACGTTGATAATCTAGCAGTTGCTGTCTAGCAGGTCCAAATCCACACTTGGGACACCTTGCGTGGGGGGATGCCTTTGTCGTCACAGCAGACTCGATCAGCATGTTGAGCGAGGCGTGTAGCACAGGGTGAGCGTGTGAACTTTTCGTATCCATGCTATATTTCTTCATTGATTTGTTCTTTCAACTTCTGCAGGAAGCCCGTGTATGTTCTTGGAGCCGAGAGATGTACATGGAAGTTTCGAAGTTTCCACAAGAGCTTGAGACACAAAGGAGTGGCAAGGAACTTCACCGGACTAGAAGATGTGAGTGCAAATGTTTTTACGCTCCACAGTCATTGATTCTCTTTGTTGTTTGTGATGATCTTGATCAGATATCTGAGAGCTGGAGCTATCCTCCTTTGAGTGACAATGCCGCTGCGGCCGAGAGAGTCCGTGCCGCATTGGCAGAGCGTGGATGGAGCTTGGCATCGTAGAGATGTAGACACTCTTCTTCTCCTTCTCTGGAATAAAAAGCTTGGAATTTTTCGCTGATACCTGTACCCATGCTTGCTAAGATCAACTTTGTTCTTCGTGTTCCTCAAAAATCAGTGCTAGAAGTAGTGGAGCATTTCAAAAATCTCAAGGAAGAGGAAGAAGAAAGTTGGAAGAAAGAGTCCATTTGGGAAGAACTTTGGAGTGGAGAAGGCTGGCAAAACTTTATAAGGTGGAGGTAACCTATATACTTTCCTTGTTAACAATGGCTCTCGGGTATGCCGAGAAGCTCTCGTTCAAGGCGGATGTCGGCAAGCTGGGCATGCCAGAGCTCTTCGACCCCGCGCAAGACGTCGACCGCAAGGTGTGTGTCACTTCGATCGCTCCTTTGCTTAGGGTTTGCCCTGTTGATTCCTCCAGATAGCGCAGCTTGCTCAACTCATACAAGAGGTAACGACCGATCCTTTTGTTCGCGATCATAGCAATCGATTGATTGATGGATCTCCTCATTCTTCTCTCTGCCTAGAGCAAGCATCTGGTGGCATTCACAGGCGCTGGGATATCGACCTCGTGCGGCATTCCAGACTTTCGTGGCCCCAAAGGGATTTGGACGCTCCAGGTGAGCGATTTTACCTCTTTGTTCTTATGGTTTTCTAGTAGCAACTCTCATCTTGCTTTGCAGCATGAAGGCAAGCCGTTACCAAAGGCCGATGTCCAGTTCCACCAGGCAAGGCCTGGAACCACGCATATGGCGCTGGTGGAGCTTGTTCGTGCTGGGATTCTCAAGTTTATCATCAGCCAGGTTCCTTTCATTTTTTTCTCTCTCAAGTCTCAAGCATGGCAAAACTTGTGTTTTTTTTTGTCTCACGCAGAACATCGATGGTTTGCATCTGCGGTCGGGCATTCCCAGAGACAAGCTCTCAGAGCTGCATGGGAATAGTTTCATGGAAACATGCCCTTCATGTGGAAGAGAGTGAGTGTTGTTTCCTCTCCCAAATTTTATTTTTTCTCTCTGAGAGTCTTACATACTCTTTAACCAGGTATCTACGTGATTTCGAGATGGAAACCATAGGCATCAAGCGCACGGGAAGGCGATGTTCTGTTCCCGGCTGCGTGGGAAGGCTTGTAGATACGATTGTCGATTGGGAGGTACAGCAGACTATCTGTCTAGTGAACGTTTCTCTTGTGGCTCTGATCAGGGAGCATTACCTCCTAAAGAACTACGTGCAGCTGAGAAGCATTGCAAGGAGGCCGACCTCATTGTCTGCTTGGGAACCAGGTGAGTTTTTTATTTTGGTTTCCATCCCCTCACACGCTGCTCAATCTTTCTGGCAGCTTGCAGATCACTCCGGCGTGCAATCTGCCTCTGAAAACGGTGCGAGCAGGAGGGAAGCTCGTGATTGTCAACCTTCAGGCTGGTCCTTTTCTTTTAACAGCATTGTGTGAGTGCTGAGTTACTTGCATTGCAGGCGACACCAAAGGACAAGAAGGCGACGCTGGTTATCCATGCTCGAGTCGATCAGGTGCTCATGAAGCTTTCTAGTTTCTTACACGACTTTGGCATGACAGGTGATTCTTGGTGTCATGAGACTGCTAAACAGGAACATCCCTCCTTTTATACGCCTTGACCACCTTCTAGTCTGTTGTTCCTACTCATGGTGTAAGCAAAGAAGCGTTGATTGTTGAACAATGCTAACTCTTTGTTCCTTCTGTTTCTTCCTGTGAAGTGAATAACTGTGTCAAGTGGACGCTGCGCATAGAAAGTCCACACGGAAACAAGGCACCTTTGCAATTTATCAAACACGTCGAGGTAAGTCCTCGGTTGGTTGTGCGTGACGAATGAGCAGTGTAATTTGCAGATAGAGTTTCCTGACAGGCCCGACTTTAAGCCGGCTTTGCTCAAGGAGCGGCCTTACGTCGTCCGAAGGTATCCATATCCGCCGCATGAAAACTTTGAGCCTGTTTCTCACGCTGCGTGCGCTCAGGAAGGCGGTAGAACTGAAGGCTCTCGACGTGCTGCTTAAGCTCCACATGTCCGACGGGTGTATGTGCGAAGAGGTCGAAATTTTGCATCCTCTCAGCTTCGAGGTACCTGTGTTTTCTTTTTTGCTTTCTGGAAGTTCTGGACGTGACAAGGAAATGCAGGGTGAAACCGAGAAACAGAAACAGCTGCCTCAAGGCCCAGTCGATCTGTCCGCCTTGCAACGAGAAAAGGTGCAGTGCGGGCGTGTGGTTCTGTTGGACGTGAGAAAGTCGTCCGAGTATGGCACCGCAGTCGAGTATGCGCTAGTAACGTGCGTGACCGGTGGCGTGGAGCAACAAGGCAAAGCCGAGCCCGGTTTCCTCGAGGAGGAGGTGACAAGACCGCCTTGTAGCAACGGCAAACAAGAGATTACTTGTACAACTTCCCTGGAAGCCAGTGGTGAAGAAGCCGCAAGTTTGCTCGATCGCGAGATGACGAGAACACCGCCACAGAATCAAGACAAGCAGCATCACAATCGAGTCGAAGAACTAACAGAGACGAAGCCGAGGGTTCGCAAACGCGCTCGGCTACGAAGCTAGTGTTTGCAAAGTTGGTAGTTTGACGAGTTCTTGGTTTGGATCACTCACGGCGAGCTATGAGTTCCTTGGGACAGTGGTCGCGATCTTTAAGAACAAGTAGTAGAGAAACTTTGTTGAAAGGATATGGAGTTCTACTCATCGGTCTTGTCCTCGTCGGTCTTGTCCGAGGAGGTGTGAGCAGGATACGCACACCGAGCGTCCTTCCACTTCTTGTTACCGGCGGACAGGTCCGTGAGGAGCTGCGTCACCTGTTCCACCGGAACTCTAATCTGTTCCTTGGAGTCCCGGTCCCTCACCGTCACCCCTCCCTCGGAGGAATCCACAGTAATCGCAAATGGGATACCGATCTCGTCCGTCCGAGCATATCTCTTGCCAATGGACCTGCCCGTGATGTCTGTCTTGACCGCCAATCCTGCTCTTCGAAGCTCCACCGAGATGCTTTGTGCTAGCTCGTCCAGCCCCGCGTTTTGCACCAGGGAGAAGACCGAGCACTTGACGGGAGCCACCACGGGGGGGAAGCGGAAGAAGTTGAGCTGCTCCACTGAGTCCGCTCCCTCGCGGGTGTCGAAGCAGTGCTCGAACAGGCAGTAGATGATGCGGCCGATGCCAAACGACGGCTCGATCACTGACGGTGTGAAGCTCTCCTTGTCCTTCGTCTTCTTGGTCACCTGCTTGTCGACCATGCCCTTCTTGATGGTGAACGTCTTGTCCGTGCTGTCGGAATGGAGCGGTGCCTCGCCTGCGGATTCCAACTTTGCCACCATTTCTACTACCTCTTCACTGCTAAGTTTCTGCAAAAGAGGCTTTGAGAAATATGTTCACGAAATGTAGAAAACACTCTACCTCCAGGGATTCTAACACCAACTTCTGGTCCGCCTTGAAACAAATGCCAATCTGCTTCCTGTTTGGAACCGGTCTAAATTCCTGAAACAACAAGGCATGAGAAACGACGCTGTTCCTCAATCCTAGGTACCTCTACAAGGATGGGCTCGGGTAAATTTCGTGAAGCCACAAGTTTGGTGTTGCTGGCTGCCTGCACGAGCAAAGGAAAGGAAAGAACTCAAAGAGGATGCAAGCAATCTAGCTTACCGAGTGTGCCTCCAAGTCGTACGCAGAGCGATCAGCGAGGCCAACACATTCTATCCATCCGTATGAGCACTCGATCTCAGCATCCCAGCAATCTGCAGCATAATGCGCCATCTCGTTGGCAAGATGTTGTCTAAACCGCAGCCGCTCCTTGTTGATTCCGAGAGTAGTGAGGAACAGGTATGTCCGTCCGATGTAGTAGCCAAGCGTCTCGTTGTCGATGATCTTCTGTGCGACTGCATCCCCGAGACGTACTTTGAGGGGAGCACTCATGTTCACTTGCTGCGACCTTGGGAAGAGGAAAAACTCAAGGTCTGCAACACTGCCGAACCTTGGGTGAGATTTGTCGACCGGGTCGACAAAAAACTCTATCTCCGCGAGCGTAAACTCGCGCACCCTCAGCAAACCTTGTCGTGGAGAAATCTGAAGCATCCAAACTCAGCTTCTAAACACAAAAGAGAAAGGAGAGCAGAAGCAAATCTCTACCTCGTTACGAAATGCCTGGCCGACTTGAGCTGCACCAAAAGGTAGTTTGCCACCGTTATAAAGAAGCAGCTCGTTGAAATTGACAAACATTCCCTGAGCAGTCTCCGGTCTCAAGTACCTGAGGAGAGCGGGATGAGTGACAGCACGTAAAGAATGAAAGAATGCATGCGTACCCCTGAAGAAGTCCCGCGGGACCAATCGGCGTTGCGAACATGAGATTGAACGGGAATGGCTCGGACAAGTCGTTCTTGCTGTCTGGAGCCTTGATGCCATACTCCTTGATCTTTGCACCAAGTTCATCGGCAGTAAAGTCATCCAGCGACGCCAGAGTTCGAGCATAGTCTTCTTTCTGAGCCGCTGGCATGCGTGGGTCTTTCTCCAGAGCATCCTTGACAAAATCCTTGACGACGTGGTCGGCTCGGTAGCAATCGCCCAGCTTCACGTCCTTGACCATCAAGTCCGTAAATCGGTCGACGTGCCCGGAGGCCTTGAGAACAGCCTCGGGTGTCAAGCATGGGCAATCCACTTTGAGGAGATCGTCATACACTACAAAATGCTGCGAGAAAGAAAAATGTAAGAAGATTATCCATGGTTTTTTAAAGCTCGATATTTTACCTGGTGCCAAAAGCTCAAGACGTTATCCTTGACGGCCGAGCCTGGAGGGCCATAATCGAACAATCCCGCGACGCCACCGTAGATCTTGAAAGACTTGACGAAGAAGAGCCTCCTCTTGAGCACATTGGTGACGGTCTCGCGGAAATTCTTCACCTGCGCGCTCGCTGCTTCCTTGGCGGCCAGCTTTACCTTGAGATCCTTGAGCACCGTCACAGCCGCATCGATTTCCTGCTTGGGAGCACTCTGCTCCTTGAGCGCCCGCACAAGATCGCCTTGGCGCACCACTGCCGCCTCCAAATCCACATCCATGG